CTACTTAGGCCATGGGCCAAGAGTGATTATTGTTCACTTTCGTTTGACACCTCATGGAACCAAGTTTAAATCTGGTATAAATACATATAAATTAAGTTATAAGTTAAATACATTATCCTGATTATAAATCACTAATGTTCACCCCAAAATTCTTGCACATTAGTTTGTAATAAGTATTTGAAAAGTGAAATTTTTTGAAACAGGCAAATTCTGCCAATAGATGGCTGTATGCTAAGCTTGAACCAATCACGGTGCTCTATGTGAAGCTTGAACCAATTACGGTGCTACATTTCACCATATTTTACGTGCGTGCGTGCGGGCGAGCATGTGCACGTACACATGCGTGCGTGTACACTTACACAGAATACATGTACATATACGTACTGAATCGACAGCGCACGCTGCACTCGAGATTTCATAGATTTTTGTCACAAATGACACGGTGACCTGTGACATCACACAACCCCTTGGCTAACTACGAACTGGCTTATTGTCGCAGCATATATCCAATTGTCCGATTTGTTGTGACCATTAATTTCATCACTACTGCACTAGCACATTTCTTTTTCTTTGGTTTATTTTTACAGTGGCCAATAGCTTCTTCAAATATTATTTTTCTGAGCTGTATCGGCACATCTACGTCTGCCGTCAGTGATCTGGTTTTTTAAAGTTGTGGGGCATAATGGCACACAAATGCCCCACAACTAGAAGAGTCTTCTTGGAGTCTGTGTGGTGGGCATGTCAGTCTATATTCCACCACATCTATCTTCGTTTTCTATTTCAGGAAAGCTATCATAATGGAGAATACCTGATTTGCTCGGGGAGGAGACGAGGCATCTGCCCGTGTTCTCCCGTTGATCTAAGTACATGTATCAGTCGCTCCTGCATGGATATGGCCACCAGCACCCAGTGGTCATCAGTAGGATTCCTTTGGGCCAGAATCACTGAAGCGGCACGGATGCCATCTCTACGTCTCGGTGAGTAACGTGATTGCACTTGGTATGTATAACATGTGACAAGTGATCTGGGCAGCTGTATTCATACATGCGACTGCACAACCCCATGCAACATAGCTCTGTGCATCGTTCGTAGCAGAAGTCTTCAATGCAAGTATCACCAGGGGCGTACCCAGACATTTTTTGATGGTACGCAAAATTGCACTAAAAATTGTCAAAGTTGTTATTTTTACTGAAATCCTTCCGACCATCTGGCGTAATGACACTGTAGTCATTATTCTTATCACATGCATAATTCTGTAAGCCCAACTGAACGTTGCATTATTTTGTTTTAGTAAAAAGATCTTTTTTTTTATTCTGGAAAAATTTAGTACGCATTTGCGTACTTTGCGTATAGGTAGGTACGCCCCTGATCACTAAGGTTATTGATGGTATTAAAGGCCTGTGTGATACTTCATGCGTGCCATGTGAGTGTAGTTGTGGGATGCTCCTGGGGCGAACTCAGCATCTTTGCGGTGGTGCCAGTAGTCATCCTCGGTTCAGTACGTATATACGTACATGTATTCAGTGTACGTGTACATGCACGCATGTTTAACTTGATCAAACGTGAATCAACTGTGTGTGCATGTGTGTGTGTGTGGTAATGCCTCGCATCTTCTTTTCTCTCCTATTCGCCGGTGAATCAGGGAGGACGCTACGGTAACAGCTACATGGACCAGATGGCAGCACCTACCTTTGACAGACCGCCGTACGATCGACCTTTGCTGTCGGAGTTCATACCGAGGAGGCCAGAAAAGCGAGCCGTGAGTGTCAACTACTGAGTAATGGCGTAGTAGCTGTGGTAATGATCGGCACGATGAAAGGTCCACATGTGTCTTTTCTCGTGTGTGTAAATGGGCGGCAGGTTGTTTGGCTTGGAGGGATGGACAGGTGTAGGCAGTATCGCAGGGTCCGAAATTAACGCGAGTCCGGAGTCAAATACTCCCTGATTTTCTGTCGGACTCCTTGTTTTGACATATGCAGGAGTCCGTGTGACTCCCTGAAAATTCTGCTATACTAACTAGTTCGTTCCAGACCACGGCCTCGCGGAATTGCCCAATTTTTTCAGCAAATGTCCAAAGACAATTTGGCAGACGTGCAACTGCATGAATCTTCAAAATAAGCACACGCGTTATTGTTAATATCTTTAGTTTTTGAACTTGAGACTGCGGACTCAGGACCCGTCAGACTCGCACAATTTCGCAGTGTGGAGTAAACAGTTCTTGCCTGAGCGCGAGCAGTGCTTGTATATTACGCGTCTCTTATTTATTTATTTATTTATTTAT